TTAAATAGGGGAACTTTTCGGCTTATGAATAAAATGGTTTTCGCAGACCAAATAGATGTCATATATTTCTTAGTTTATTTGATCGAGCCTCACCCTCAAGTCTTGTGTTTATCTTTCAAGATAGATATATGGCTTGAAGTGTAGTGCTCTTTCATTTGAACTATAAAAATATGAGATCAGTTTGATTTGATTTGTCTTCATATATATATATATAATTAAATGCCTTTCCGAAGCGGGAGATGAGATTTCGATTCCGGCAGCCTACAGCTTCCAACGGGCAACTCCTCAACCAAAATTATGCCGATCAACCTCTTGGATGAAATACTCTCCCATGAAATCAAATGTGATTCTCTCCATGTTGTAGAAATCATAGCCCTTTCGGAACATATGTTTCTCAATACATTTTAACATTTTATTTGGTCAAATCAAAAAGTAAATGAAGATCTGGGTTAAAATCATCACAAATTATTGACATTTAAAACCCTATAAAACAAAATCAATTCTTCACAAAACCATATCTTGAAGTTGAGAGAAGGATAAACAAGACTACTCAGAATTCATGAGAGTGATACGACAAAGCACATATTTCATTAATAAAAATAAGTTTATAAATTAAAATAAATAAAAGCACAACTTATCTCACAATCCTTCCTAAGCAAATCCTTAGAAGTTCTCTTCAAACTTTTCTCTCTTTAAAAGCACTCTCAATTCTCTCTCAAAAGTGTAATGAAGAAGAAATCTCTCACTTTCCTTCTCCTCTTACAATTTTTGAAGAAATTCTGTAAGACCTTGACATCTTGTCATTCTCTCTCTCTCTCTTTTCTTCTTCTCACTCTCACGCCACTCACACACACGCACCACCAACTCACGCCCCAAAACTTCTCCTCTAGCCCTAGACTTCCCTCTCTTTTATAAAAGGCTACCTCCCTCCAAAAAGAATTCAAATTTCCCTCCAAAATTCTAACCAAAAGTCAACTCTTTTAAATTCAAAAGACAGGTCTATTAATCCAAGAGACATATCCCTTCATAAAAGAACCTTCCAAAGTGTCTAGATGCATTAAATCACTCCAAGGGGTGTTTAGAACAAGTGTCCTTTTGAAAATTCACCAAAAATTTATCCCGAATCGCCTTAATCCGTAAAAATTCATCTCCGGTGCATCATGCGCTATTTCTCTAGATTTTTGCACATCATGCGTTGGTTTGACGCATCATGCGCCACTCTGCGGTAGCTCCACTATTTTGCTATGTTTGGCTCCTTTTTGGCTCTGTTTCGCCCCGTTTTAGTTGTGTTTGCTCCTAACAGATATACCTACAAAATAAGCATGAGAACAACCTTTATTTAAAGTATAATTTCATTCAAAAATATATGAGAAATGTAAAGTAGATTAAGAATAGAAAGACATATCGAAATGTGTCAAGTCAGAATTTTCTTTCTTACTCGTTTTTACTCCAAATTGCACCATTTTTGCTTCATTTTCTCAAAATGTTCATTTTTTTTCCTAAGACTAAAAATATACAAAATACATTTCTTTAAAATGTAATATCATTAAAAATCATTAAAAATAAGCTTAAAATATATAAGAAAAAGTAGGTAATTCTTAGGCATGTCAAAGACTGTTATAATGGTTGTGCATTGTAGTTGCTTTTATATGGAAGCTTTATTGTTATTAGAAGTTATCAAAAACCATGTTTAGAGATGTACTGTAGTAATATTTACTGTATTTACTGGTTTCTGAAGAATTATTTGTGGTATTGTCAGAATTTTGTGATGGTGTCATGCAGCTATTATACATTAGATCTTGTACGAAATCAAGCTTTTCCTATGATCTATTTTGTCACTTGTGATGATTATTACGAAGTTTCTCTTATATGCTTCAAAATTTTGTTGGCATTATTACCATAAATCAGCTACTTAAAAGAAGGAATTTTCATGATACACAATGATATGTGGCTAAAGTTTTGGTTGATAATAATTATTGACATGTATGTCATTATTTTGATGTACAATGTTAGACACAGATGAAAATAAATGTTTTGATGCGCAATTCCTTCAATTTTAAGAATCCCATGAATCATTTCAAAAGAAATTTTCAACTTTTATTCCTTCAAATTTTTCTTTATTTTATTACATGATTATTTTAACAAAAATGTGCTTATGCAATTTGACAAGCTCTAAGGGGACCAAATATCGACAAGTCTTTTGTGATTGCAACCTGTTGTGTGTTGTATTCACATCACAGAAAGGTGATACTGTTGGGAAAAAGTTTTATAGATGTCCCAAAAATTTAACAAATAGAGACTGAAGATTTTTTCAGTGGGTTAATGAACTAGGCATGCAATATAGGAGTGAGAAGATGAGAGGATAAATGTATTTGATGATATCATGAAGAATGATCTGTAGGACTTGAAATTTCTTGTGAATGTTTTGCTTTTGTTTGATTTGTCTTCATAATATTACTTTTATTGTTCATAGCATTGTATCTGCTTTGATGATGTTTATGTCAAAGAATTAAAGTTTCTTGTGAAGTCATTTTTTTTGTTTGAGTTTATAACTGTACTGCATTCAGTTTTCAAATCATAATGTTTTAACTTATCTTTTTTGTTGAGATGATGTAAATTCTAAATTTTAGACTTTAACTAAGCAACCCAGCAGCTGAGACTGTTTCATCTATCACCATCTTTTTTGATTATGTTGTTGTTAGAAGGCATAATTTGATGTTTTCTTATGGTTCGGTTAATGTATATCACTATTTTCTCTATGGTGTTGTGAGTGAAAATAACTTAATAAATTATCACTGGATTTATTTCATAGAAAGCCTTCAGAACTGTGCTTTTTAAACAATTTAAAATGAATTGTTTTTTTATACTTAGGGGTATTATGGTCATTATGTCAACAGTCAACACTTTTAGAATTGTATTTTTCAATCAAACCAATTGTTTTTGAAATACCAGTTTTTGAACAACAGATTTTCAACATCAGGTTTTGAAACTAGCTTTTCTAAAGCCACAGCCGAACCAAACACACCTTAATCTTTGTGTTACCTAATCCAATATTTATTGGTTTTTAATATCACGTGCTTAATATGTAAGATTGAAGGCTAGTGATCAAAGAAGGAATAAGACAACAATTTTATTTTTTAAGAGATTCACTCTGTTATAATAATAATAATAATAATAATAATAATAATAATTGAAAAATAATGGCCATTGTAATTAAATTTTATGTGCTTTATTCTCCGTCAACCCATCGTGACTTTGTTATGTAGGTTTAAAATTAATGGAGTACTCTAAAAATTATTTTTTAACATACTTAAATGAACAAAGAACAAATAGGCTTGTACTGAGAGAGGTTTGTGTGTTATTAGATGAGCCTTGGATACTTTAAATAGGTTAGTTTAAATAATTTATAAATGTTCAAAAAATTAGATAGCTCATAGAAGCTATAGGGTCATGGTAATCATTTAACAAGTACAAAGTTCATTATTTAATATGCTAGTGAAACTTTAGATTTATAAGATGACTTATATGGAGATGTAGGAGAAGCATATTCAGGTGGTTCACCAAAATTTTACTGAGGATGGTGTGGATTGAGAGGATGCCCCCACATCTGGTCTCTATTGTGATTATGATGTTGTTCAGCTGATGTAGTATAAAGATTATGATTTAATTTGTAAATTTATGAAACGAACGGAAGGGCTTAAAATTTTTAAAACTGCTATTTAAAAATTATTTAAGACATATGAAAATCAATATTTGAATCAATAAGAGGTATTTCTAAATATCTAAAAAGCTGTTTGGTTTATTGAAAATAAAATGCAATGTAAAAGTTTTACAGAGTACTATGATTATAATGTATTTATTTTTGAGTTATTTGGTTTACTAAAAGGTACATATGAAACTTTATATTTTATTTTGTTTGATCTAAAGTAGATTTAAAATAATATATTTTAAAATATATTTTTGTACGGTGATGCAACGACAGTGGCGCCTGACGAGTGCCCTGTCAGGTAGCAGAGGACAAGTAGTCGCTCGCGGCAGTTGGAGAATAGTGGGAGGCCATTAACGACGACGGGGCTGCTGCTTGCCAATAGAAATTTATCCAAACAATGTAATTCAAATCAGTCAAATATGCTGAATTCTAAATTTGATCAAATCTGTTGAATTACGGCGCAAACTTCAAATTCATTCATACTTTACATTATATTTATAATTCTTCTTTTTAAATATTTAATTTTCTTAAAGTCTTGCAAAAAAAAAAAAAACAGTACAAATCATTCAACCAAATATCCCCTGAGACTGTTTAAGAAGACACGAAAAGTACTCGGAGCTTATTACAAAGCAATTGCTTTAGATTATTAAGTGCCAGTCAATAAATATTGCCTTTCGTTTCCAATAAAATATCTTTTTCTTCATTCAGTTAATATTTCAAACATAATTATGCATTACAAACACTCGATCCAATTATTTTCCTTAAAGCACAGTCAGGCTGTTTCATCTTTCAAATGAGCAGAAGGATTGCGAAAACCAAAGTTTGGCAACCCACGGCGGCACAGAATCAGTCCTGAGCCACAAAAAAATAAAAACTTGCGAGCAAAATAGCCGAGCTTAAGTCAACGCCAAAAAAAACAATGCATTACCCATCCAGCTGTCACATAGAATTTTTCTTACTCGTTCATTAGAGTCGGGCCGCCCAATCGCAAGAGCGTGCAATTGTCCATTTGTGTGAGGCCAGCAATGCATCAATTGTTCGACCCCAAAGACTCAACCAAAAGGATAAAGTGCGTGAGCATCATGCTTCATTTCCTCCAACAGTCCAATAAATCAGACAAGAAATAGCCAGTATGCTTTAGAGAATAAAAATATTATCTACAGAATGTTTTGTCGACTCATTTCATAAAGTTTTCTTTAAAAAGCAAAAAAGAAACAGCCTTTCACCTCTACCCATGCAATCTTCGCTCTAACAATCCTTTCAGGTTGTTCAGACCGAAATCAGAGCGATAATGGAAGGTAGCTGGTCAACAGGTTCTCACTTCCCTCCTGGGTTCCGCTTCCATCCTACAGACCAGGAACTAATCACGCATTACCTGAAGAAGAAGGTGTCTTCTTCCTTACCACCCGCATGGGCCATCATGGCCGATGTTGATCTTTACAAGTTCAATGCTTGGGAGCTTCCAGGTTAGTGATATCTCTCCTTAGCGCTCATTTCTTTTGTGGTGGTTTAGGATGATCATAACAATTGCTGCTTTGTTTCAGAGAAAGCATTATTTGGAGAAAAAGAGTGGTTTTTCTTCAGCCCGAGAGATCGCAAGTACCCGAACGGCGTCAGGCCCAATCGGGCTGCTGGGTCGGGTTACTGGAAGGCAACTGGCATCGACAAGCCCATCTTGGCTGCTGACGGCCTCCAGTGCATTGGTGTCAAAAAGGCTTTGATTTTCTACCTCGGACGCCCGCCTAAGGGTACCAAAACAGAGTGGGCCATGCACGAGTACCGCCTGCTAGACTCCGCCCTGCCTGGTCAAGCTATGAAGACGAAGCATTCTATGAGAGTACGAACTTCTTGCTTTTTTAATTCAAAGAAATTTTCAAAAACAGAAGTAAACAATATTCTCCAGAATGTAAATTTGTTGCTTTTCTATTTCAGCTGGATGATTGGGTTCTGTGCCGGATTGAAAAGAAGGGTGGCGGCCGGCAAGCTGAAAAAGATGAAGCGCAGGTATCCCTAAAATTACCACAGCCTGCCAATGCGAATGCCGAACAAGAAAATCAGCAACAGTTAAAAATTGAAAAAAGCCGCATCTTTGAGTGGAGCGACGCACAGCATCTTGACTTTCTTAGTACACCCGAGAATGAAGCGATAAGCAAAGGGGGAGAATCTGATTCGCGTTCTGATAGCAGATGTTCTGAGCTTGAAGAGTGCTTTGAGGTGCTGCAGCAGCCACCGCTGTTGCAGTTCTCAGCTTACGGCTCCATGAAGAGGAGGTCGTCGTTCAGCTCGGACATTGATGAGCTGATGCAACAGCCGCCTTGCAAAAGACAGCAGTGTTCAAGTGATGAGCAATATTTTTTGAACGAAGACGTCTTTTTTCTTGATCAGAGCTTAACGGAGTTCTTAAGATGATAACTCGCACGGCTCGCAGCCTTTTTTTATTATTTTAAACAGTCATTTTTTAACGGGAAATTTGAATCTTGAGGTGGAGGCAAATAAGGGTTCGATTGATGCCTGTTGGCTAATTTTATCTTTTTTCTAAGAAATAAGATTTGAATACGTAGCTTTGACTAATTTCTATACTCTTTCCTGCTTAGATATGATAATTCATCTAAAAGTATATGCATTTTGCTTTGCTAAGCAAAAGTGTATATTTACAAAAAAGGCTCACAACGACGCTATCAACAATACCGGAAAATAGCTTCTTAGGCTTTACAAACGTGAGCTAAATGCGATGTTTAATCGGAACAATTCTGTAATAAAATATGGATATTTCACTATGAAAAGAAAGATATTTGAGACCTAAAGAGAATATTTTAAGGGAAAACAGATACATTTGTTGACTTGAAGAACATAGCATGGTATTTTTGGAAAAGAATTGTAAGAAATGAATGTTGAACTGATCCTATGAGCATAATGTTGTATCATTAGAGCAATGGAGAATTATGCCTCTACGATAAAATCATGCTCATGTTCCTATAAATTATCAATGATTTTCGTATTACGTGAGGGAAATTTGAGCTTATTTAAGTCTTGTAACTCTTGTTTAATAACAATAAAAAAATTCATAAAGCTTTTGTTAGAATATATAGTAAACAAAGTAAGTTAATATAAGTTTACTAAACACATGTTTTTGGATATAAAAGTGAAAAAACTATCAAAAAGAGCTAATTCAAAAAAAATTTAAAAAAATTAATTAGGAGTAATAAAAAGCTCGAAACCATGTCGACAAAGATAGCATCATTTTGAAAGAATAAAACAAGTGAGACCAAAATTAAACCAAGCATGATGTATGCGTAAAACTAGGAATCAAAGTTATCTTAAAATTAAAAATGAATAGTGGAAATGTGGTTGAGCATGAAAATATTTACAAAAATATGTGGCATTATTTTAGAGTTTGAAAATATTGAAAAAAATTGGCAGGAATGTTTTTAAATTTTTTATTATGAAAAAAATAAATTCATTATGGAATTATCATGAATATTTAATGCTATTTAAACTAGCAATCATGTCCAACTTCAACAAGGCGAGGATCACCAAAAGAGCTTAAAAGTGAATTTTATTTTCAAAGCCTGAATTTCACAAAACTTCATTTACAAGGCGTTGAAATAATCAGAAGTCCACCACCTTACTCATAAAGGTCGGCCAAGCATAGAAAATTACGATGCAAGCAATGTATGGCTAGGCCAAGCATGGAATGATTATGTGGAAGCTTGCCACCAATAGACAAGGAGACTCAACCAGTTGCTAGGAAAGTAATGCCTGGTGGATGAAAAAAAGTGGGTGATCGCACACTATATAGATAAGGACCTGTTAAAAATAGAGAATATTTGTATTAGAATGGAGATAGAATAGGGTATGCTTCGTGTCTCTATTTGTTCTTGTAGAGCGAGAAAAAAGGACTGTCACCTCCTGGGTGGCCTCTCTTATTTGTAGGTTTGGGTCGGCTCCGTCTTGGGGTGATTACTTAAGCGGCTACACAGAAAGAAAAAAAAAAAAAGAATAATAACCATTCACAGATTTAATGTGAAACTAGGAATGCTTCTAGGTGGTGAGAAACCATTGATGATTCAGGATCCAACATCCTTTTAGGTCGTGAATATTTTTCATTTAAAATGGCCTTAACCATAAATAGCGGGGCGTATATTTCACACAAAAACATAATAGTATTATTCTAATATTTATTTTCTCACTCCGTATAGTCATTTGTGTAACAACCGCTGGTTGTATCCGAGCCAAATCAATAAACAAACTAGTCACCTTAGAGGGCGAGGGACTTTCTTTTCTTGCTTTAGAAGGATAAGGAGAGAAAACAGGCCCATACTTACATACTTAAGTGGTGTGAGGTCACAGACAATTAATGTCCAATTGTAGTTGGTCATGTTCAATTGAGCGCTATCAAAACCTCAATTGAGCTTACTTGGGCTATTTAGCCAATTTGAATCAAATCTATCTTAAATATATTTTTTAATAAAGATTGTTAAAAAAAAATAAACATAAAGGAACATATAATAATAATAATATAAGAAAACATTAAAAAACAATTAGGTGGTCGCGCCTTAAGGTGGCATAACCATGCAACTCTAACCGAGCCAACAACATAATTACACCACTAGGAGGCATGGTTACAGTGTCATTATTCATATCCCTCCTGCTCAATTTTGATGCACTTACTACTCCCGCCCTTGGCCGCTATCATGTCTACTTCTTATATGAGTCCCCTCCTCGCTTCTAAATAAAAATAATTCTCACTTCTCCTCCTTCCCATTGTTGTTTCTTTGTTCCAGTGCTCTAAGTCAGTCCTCTCCTTCCTTTCCTTGGTGTTCTTCGACTTCCCATGGTATGTCTTCTCCTCCACTTCTTCTTCTCCACTTCTTCTCCTCCACTTCTTTCACATCTAACTTTTTTTTTTACTTCTCCTACTTCTTCTACTTCTATTTTTTTCTACTTATTCTCTCGTTTCTACTTCTTCTTTTTCTATTTCATCTCTTACTTCTTCTTCTACTTCCTCTCCTACTTCTTCTACTTTGACAATCTTCTTTTTCTCTCCTTCTCCCTTTAAGCATTTCTTTACGTGACTTGTCTATATGGAACTCATGAGAAAAATTTTATGTAATAATCATTTTCAAATGATTTTTTGCTATGTCGACTTAAATTCGCTTAATATATTTTAATCATACAAATGTTTTTCATGTTAAGTGAAATGTTTAGAGTGCATGTTTAATTAACTTCATGTATTCTCAATGTTTTTTTTCCTTCATGTCATGTGTAGCTTGTTTCAGGTGTAGGATTTACACATGTGATTTGTTCCATGTGTAGGGTCTCCACTATTAGTTTATTTTAGTGATCTCAAGGCATTTTTGATTCAGGTACAGGTTACAAGCCCGGGTGTGAAAAGTAGAGGGTTGAGTTAGGTAGTCGGCGACTAGTGTAAAACTTATCAAAAAAATCAAGACATGAATCCTTTTGATCATTATGCAGGTGCTAGGATGTCCCCTATAAGCGACGCGTTGTATGACCTGAATACAGTGAAAGTGTGCAAGGTTCGCTACACCGGTGCCCGATCTAGTGTCAAATAAGCAAGGGTTCCCACATTACAGACGGGTGCGAGTAAAGAAGTTAGTCAATGAAACTAACTAAACTAATATTAGGATGGGATCTTGGAATTCAGGTACTCTCAATGGTAATATAATGAATTTAGTTGATGTTATGATTCATAGAAAGATTAACATCTTATGTATTCAAGAAACTAAATGGATTAGGGAAAAGGCTAAGGAGATTGATAAATTAAGTTTTAAACTTTTGTATTCTGGTAAGAGTCACACTAGAAATGGTGTAGGTGAAACTATATAAATAAGTTTGAAACATAATGTTGTAAAAATTAATCGAGTTGGAGATAGAATTATGGCCCTTAAAATTATTATTCAGATTAAGACTTTTAATGTTATAAGTGTTTATGCTCTTCAAGTAGGTTAAGATATAGAGTCTAAGGATAAATTTGAGAATGATTTAGAAAAATTAACACAAATGATACCTCTTGAAGAAAGAATTTTCATTGGAGAAGGATTAAATGGACATGCGATCCCTAGATACTACTAATATGCAAAGTACAACAATAATTCAAATTATATTTCACTTATATTTCCTTACTTTACAACAAAACCAAAAACTTGATCCTAAAGAAAAATAAGAATTTAACTTTTAATTTATATATATTGGGATACTATGCAAGTATACGTATCGTTATCAAGTAAGATAAGACTTTTTGATTAAAACCTGAATATCGAACCCACATAGAATTTATACAATATGCACTTTTAGAAAACTTTCTATTTTTAAAAAGTCAATTACTTAAACTGAATATATTTTGCAGTAATAAAAATACAAATATTTTTGGTATTTTTGATATTTTGTTATTTATATATCTTACACATAAACTTTACCTTTTGCTATATTTAAGCTATTAGATGAAAAACACTTAATAAGAAAATATCTTTTCTTCTTATCATGAATCAGTAATAATTATAGAAATTCTCTTGTGGAAGTGTGCAAATTGTGTTGTGCCAAATAGGAGCAATAATATTTTTTACCCTTACTAGAGTTGCTATAAAGAACATTTGCTAATTTAAAGTTTGAATTGTTCTGAAGATTGGCTAGGCAAGGAAGATACTAGCTCCACTCTAGAATTCCCTTGATTCCCTCCACCTAGGGGCTAACATCTCGTATCATAAACCGGGGCTTTAACCTATCGCTTTAAATTCCTCTAACTCTACACCCTTCAATGAATATTTCCCTGTTTATTTGCACACAATCATATGAACTATATTCTCATTCATACAACCTCATGTGATTCTTTCCAATTGTTGACTGAGACAATTCCAGCCCAGTTCTTACATGTTCTCACAACAAATCTTAACATCTGGATTGTCCAAATTAAGAAGTAAATGAAGTGCATGGATTTAAATCATCACAACTTGTTCCAACATTAACGATCAATACTCTTAACAATTTCCATTTAAAACTTAATTACTTATCCTTTTAAGAAGAAGGATAAAGAAAAGAAGAAAAGGATAAAGAAAACTACTCAGAATCCATAGAGAAAATAAAACCACACTTTATTTTAAATGTAGAAATCATTGTCAAACCAACAAGTCTCAATTAAAACCAAAAGTAGTCTCAAAGCAAAAAGATAAAAACTTATCTCAAGTTCTCTACCAAACTCTTGAAGTTCCTTTGAATCTCTTCTCTTTACAATCACTCAAAATAAACTAACAAAAAAGATAAAATAAAAGTAAAAGTGGAGCCTGAAAATCTCTCAAACAAACTCCCCAAATTAGAACTTTCAAAACTTTTCAAGTATTTTCAGGACTTTTTAAAGTCCTCTCTTCTTTCTTTTATAGTTTTCTAAGAGGTGCCTTGGAAACTCTTCAAAATGTGTCTCAATTTGATATATTTCCCAAAAAGATGCATCCTTTCATGATAATTTTCATTCATGATGGTTATAACCAGCTATTAAGCCAATGGGTGCCTCAAAAACCTCTTCAAAATTTGAAGAAACTGAATTTACTCATCTAGTATCTGCCACTGGCACTTAAGCGCGGGACCTCTGGCGCTTAGGCGCGGCCTTCTCTGTTTAACCGGTGCTTAGGCGCCAAAACTCATTTGCACATTTTTCACATTTTTGATCCAAATTTGATCCTTTTTCACTCCTGTAAGCATTTTTCACCCTTCTTACCTGC